CTGGAAAGAACTCGGTAGTAGAGCTTGTGATACAGGGGAGCTTGAGAGTCGTTGAAGAGATCCCGAGATAGATCTAGAGAGAGATCCAGATAGTGATGAGATCCTGAGATAGATGTAGATATAGATCCACCTTGCGTACAAATACATCTGATGGAAGATGCTTTTTTGATTTAGAGGCTTGATGATTCTGTTCATTGTATAGACCATGATGCACGAGATGCTTCTTCACTGCTCGGATTAGGGATAGAGGGGTCCGATCAGCTGGGTTTGCGGCACAGTTGGGTAGGTGAAGGACAGGGCATTCGAAGTCCCGATGACCACTGCCAAACATATGGGTGGTAATTACGTTGATAAATTGAATGTGGTCATTCGTCCAGTCACCTATTCCTATATCACTGGCCTCCCCATTATGAAAATTGCCCACTTAGTTCGTGTTAGCGTTGCTAGTTTAGTTGCCCTCGAGAATCATTAGCTGGACTGCCCAACCTGAGTTCTGCTTAACTCCTATCGGCCTTATCCTAAGATTTATCCTTCATCATTCTTACGCTCATCCATACAAAGCATTTGCCCTCCATTCACTCACCCCAATCGATTTAGCAGCCCCCGAAATTCCCTCCGATAGTGTTAGGTGTCTGGCTGACGACGATCTCCCCGGCGGGATAAATGTCTCTCCGAAATCCATTTGCATGCTCCGCTAACCGGCGACAAGGATACTTATCGCAGGGCCGTCCAGAATAAATATGTACAAATATCCACCCTACTAATTTATGGGATTCCCACACGTCCGATAGACTTATGGTACACACATACACGATTTACATCCGACTTATCTCTCTATCCGGGAGAGATTACCTATGCCCTCTTCCGGTCCGCGTGTAACACCTCCGTTCACGACCCAGGGACCACCGTTCATATCCTGGAACTCTCCTCAGGAACTTTCCTTAAACCCTGGGATTTACTTTCAAGGCCTTACGTGTCCTGGAGTACATCGTTACCTCCCCTGAGGCTGTCCAGTACCGATTAAGGTACCCTTACAAAATAAGTATGAGGACTTATTCGGGACACTACAGCTTGCCTTATCCGCCCTTTGGGTGACTCACCCCTGACCTTCGGCTTCTTACACTCAAAACAATTCTACTCTCCGTCGGCGGGTAAAACCCGTTTATTACGGGTACCCCTACTCGCAACCATATTTGACTATGCACCAGAGGGTAATTTTTACACTTCCCTCGCGGATCACCCTATCCTGTTCTGACGGATATACCCCAGCAAGCTGACCCCCCACCGTCGGGTTAACTCTTTACGTGTACCCGCAGAGAAGTGATTACTCTTCGCTCTGTTACCCACGCAGCCAATGTTTACTCTTCCCTGGGTGGTAGAATTTCAACCCGTTGCCGGCGTATAACCCGTTACTGGCGAATAACCTTACTCGCCAATATATTTAAACCACCCCTGCCGAGGGTACTTTTACCCCCTCTTGTCGGATACTTTACCCCCGTGCGCAGTCTTTACTCGGTATACACGCGGTTCTTACCCGGTCAGTACGGATATATTTCCCCGAAATACAACACGAAATATAACACATAACAGAAGCATGCGCTTTCTATTTTTCTATTCACTGCACAGTCACAGTGCACAATCATTGACGCCTTCTCGTACCATTCGTTCCCTTACTTCAGGGATCCAGTTTTTTTTCTAGTTTTAGCGCTGCAAAAACGTAACCCTCTTAAACACTTAAACAAAGTCCCCTGTCACATATACACCACCATCAAAGCAACGTCCGTGTCTAGGCTCCCATGAAGGGCGAATAAGGGGCAGGCGATGCACAGTAGGCCGGCCGGCCGCCAGGAGCGCTAGAAATGCCGAAAAATGAAACGTGCTCAGGGTGCAAAAAATTAATACCCACAGACTCGAAATTGATCATAGGATACGATGCCGTGCCGTGAATAAGTATGAGACCGATGTCACGGCCAATATTCAGCTCCGAACACAGTCTAACTGACGGTTAGGGAATGAAGCGGCTATCTGAACGATTTCGACTAGATTTTGAATTGCTCTTTTCTCATGAATGAACATCTTATTGGTGAAAATAAACGACTGCACATGATGCACACGGTTATTGTGATCATGTTCATAACCAATTTCATTGGGCTCACTCATCTGATTGCACTCTAAATAGTGAGTTTGCAACATGTTGCAGACATCTACATAAGCTTATATTCAATTAGACTTATATAAAAACGTTATTTTTGGCACCTAATTCTGACGGCATAATAAGATTGGGCAAGTGTTGTACTTTCGAACCGTTGTCGATTTTTTCTGCTTTTCGCTGCTAGTTTAGGAGCTATACTGGCATTTGCTGGGGTATTTTTATACCATCTGGTTGGGAGAGGGGTAGTGAACGTCCTTAGCCTATAACTTGCGAACAAATGGTCGCAGCGAGATGCGCATGGCAGCGATCGAAAGGTCTCAACAAGATGTGTTCGATTAGCATTTAAAACTTGTTTTAAACCCGGCATTTGCTGGGGTATTTTCATAACACCACTTGCTGGGGGGGGGGGGGGGGGGGGGGGGGGGGCCGTCAGACGTCCCCAGCCCATAACTCGAGAACGGTTAGTCGCAGCGGGACAGGCGAGGCGGCAAACGAAAGCTCTAAACAAGACGCATCTGATGAATACTTAAATTTGGTTCTCAGGTCAAACTTGAGGTCAAGGTCAGGTCAAAGGTAAAAAATAGGGGTTTTCATTTTGGGCCCCAGAGACCGAACTACCGACAGCAGCGAGCTCAAAATTTCTTGGCATGTGCCCAAAAGATGTAAGAAAAGTCTCATTGTGTCTAAAGCGAATTGGAGCACAGGTCAAGGTCAAGGTCAGGTCACCAAAGGTCACACAAAGTCGAATTTTCAAAATAACATTTAAGTACCGTGTGACACATGTTTTTGGGGTAGTTTTGGACGTAGAACACGATGGTGGCAAGAATTTGGAGATTTGACCCCCGCAAAATGGTGAAAAAGTGAAAAAAGGGGTTAAAAATTCGAAATTTTCAAAATTCAAAATTTTGAATTCAAAACATGCTATCTGATGCAGTTTTATCTCAGGATTCCAAAAATGTCTTTTGTTTTGCTCTACGACCCCTATAAGTACCAAAAATTTGAGTTTGAAAAATGAAATTGGATATTTTGTTACTTTTTGCGCCCTCTATAGCAACCAAATATTGAGCTACGGACTTGAAATTTTGCATGCTGATTCTTCTTTTGATGCCCGAGGACAACTTGTCTCATTTTTTTGAAAAATTCAAATTTTTGAAAAAATCAAATTTTTCTCAAAATTTGGTTTGACATTTTGGACCCCTAAAACTCAATATTTTGAAAATCCGAGATAACCATCTTGTAGAAAATTCAATTTTCTATCGTTTGAGCCCTGAAAATTGCAAATTGCTTCATTTATATATCCTACAATAGGCAGGGGAGGGTCGATGCGAAGCCTTATATTCGCGATGGTGCAAAAACGGGGATGCGCATCGCGCTGAACTTTACAATAGCTTCTACAGGGGCATATTGTGATCGTATTCATAACCGAATTCATTGGGATCACTCACTTGATCCTATATATAGTAAGCTTGCAGCATGTTTCAAAAATATCAGAGGACATATTAAGGATACATTGAATTATATTTTTTTCAAACATGTGATTTCGTGCACCTAATTCTGACGGCATAATAAGATTGCGCTGGTGTTGTAGTTTCCAACCGTAGTCGATTTCTTCTGCTTTTCCCTGCTAGTTTAAGAAATATAGCCTTCAATATGAGGGGTTCTATATCCTACAACAGGCAGGGGAGGGTCGATGCGAAACATTATTTTCGCGACAGTGCAAAAACGGGGTTGCCCAGCGCGCTGAACTTTACAATAGCTTCTACAGGGGCATGTTGTGATCGTATTCATAAACGAATTCATTGGGATCACTCACTTGATCCTATAAAAAGTGAGCTTGCAGCATTTTTCAAAAATATTAGAGAAAATACTAAGGATACATTGAGTTACATTTCTTTCAAACATGTGATTTCGGGCACCTAATTATGACGGCATAGTAAGATTGGGCTAGTGTTGTACTTTCCAACCGTAGTCGATTTTTTCTGCTTTTCCCTGCTAGTTTAAGAAATATAGCCTTCAATATGAGGGTTTCTATATCCTACAACAGGCAGGGGAGGGTCGATGCGAAACCTTATTTTCGCGACAGTGCAAAAACGGGGATGCCCAGCGCTCTGAACTTTACAATACCTTCTACAGGGGCATATTGTGATCGTATTCATAACCGAATTCATTGGGATCACTCACTTGATCCTATATATAGTAAGCTTGCAGCAGGTTTCAAAAATATTAGAGGAAATATTAAAGATGTATTAAATTATACGTTTATAAAAATGTAACTTCGGGCACCTAATTTTGACGGTATAAAAAGATTGGGCTAGTGTTACACTTTCCAACCGTAGTCGATTTTGTATGCTTTTCCCTGCTAGTTTAAGAAATATATCCTTCAATATGAGGGGTTCTATATCCTACAACAGGCAGGGGAGGGTCGATGCGAAGCCTCGACCCTCCGATGCGAAGCCTCGACCCTCAGATAGAGAGAGAGAGAGAGAGAGAGAGAGAGAGAGAGAGAGAGAGAGAGAGAGAGAGAGAGAGAGAGAGAGAGAGAGAGAGAGAGAGAGAGAAGAGAGAGAGAGAGAGAAGAGAGAGAGAGAGAGAGAGAGAGAGAGAGAGAGAGAGAGAGAGAGAGAGAGAGAGAGAGAGAGAGAGAGAGAGAGAGAGAGAGAGAGAGAGAGAGAGAGAGAGAGACAGGGAGACAGGGAGACAGGGAGACAGGGAGACAGGGAGACAGAGAGACAGAGAGACAGAGAGACAGAGAGACAGAGAGACAGAGAGACAGAGAGACAGAGAGACAGAGAGACAGAGAGACAGAGAGACAGAGAGACAGAGAGACAGAGAGACAGAGAGACAGAGAGACAGAGAGAGAGAGAGAGAGAGAGAGAGAGAGAGAGAGAGAGAGAGAGAGAGAGAGAGAGAGAGAGAGAGAGAGAGAGAGAGAGAAGATTGTATCCTTGACCAATTCATGTGTCGGTCATTAATGGAGAAACTGTGAGTGCCGGGAAGTGTGTTAAAATCTTACCAGGAATGACGCCTTTTGAACTCCTCAGTAAACTAAGTGCAGTGTATGCAAATTGCAACATGCATGCATGCATGGTATTAGAAGTCTTGAATTTACATCTTATTGGTGTGGTATCTCGCTAAACGTTGTAAATGAAATGTTTTCACAGTCAGTTGAACGATAACTCGAGCGCAAATAATTTCCAGCGCTCCTGGCGGCCGCCCGGCCCACTGTGCGATGTGGCAGTGGGCCCTGTCACATATACACCGCCATCAAAGCAACGTCCGTGGCTCCCATGAAGGGCGAATAATGGGCAGGCGATGTGGCAGTGGGGCGTGACAGGACCACGCCCTCGTCCAGTTCGACCGCAGTCAATGAAAAACCGGCGAATGAGTCGGAAACCAGGACCTCTCTCTCTCTCGCTCAGTGCTGCAGCTCGCCGGCTGGGAGAAGTTTAGTGAGCACGGCCTGGAGCGCCGTCGGAACATCCTTCTTAACGTCGGAATGTACTACGTATACCGCCAGGAAAGTGGCCGTGTTCTTGATGCCAAGGTAGTAGAGCGGCTGGCAGAACACGGAAAACGATACCGCCCACGTGAGGAGCTGGAGCTCCTCGCTCCCACTGAGGGCGGCGCAGTGCACCCCCTCCACGAAGAGGGCAGCACTACCACCCCGCCGCACGATCACGGGGTATGTATGATGTCCTTCCTCTTCTACAAAAACTGTTTCCAGTTCCTTCAGGGAGGCCACCAGACCTTCGGCGTCGTGGCCTATGCAGAGAACAGAACAATGCGCAATGTTATTCTCATCTATGCCAACACCTAGGCACAGATCACAGCATCAACTCTTACTCGTATGTTACATCGCTACTCAATCACGGGAACAGCTGTCATGTATTGTTTGCACTAAGTATAACTCACTAGATTTTGCACTGAACCAACCAAACACTATAGATGTCTCCTTTCCTGACCATGAAGTAACCGCAAAATCTGAGTCATTTCAATGTACCGAGTCTCACGAAGAGGGTATTTTTCGCCCCAGCACTTGTTTCGATACCGCAGTGAAAACTGATTGGATTGGAGGAAACTGAAGTCATTGGGGGAAGGGAAATGGAAAGCAATTCATTATTTAACCCGCGTCCCGTTGGGGGAGGGGCATTTTGCCCCCCGGTGTTTTTTCGCAAATAGCAAGAAAGCGGCAGCGCGAAGCTCCGCCAAATTTTGGGTACCTTTCCGGACATCAATTTGACACCTTCATCAAAATTTCAGGTCATAGATCACCTTAGGTCAAGAGTTATTGAGGTCAAACTGAGGTCATGTCAAAAATAGTGTCATCTTTACACGCTCACCAAAGTCAGAGTTATTAATCAATCTTTAAGTTATTTGCATGATTTTGTAAAGAAAAGACGGGCCTACAAAACTGCCATCTCGGATTTTCAAAATTTTAGTTTTCTAAAAAAAATATTTCAAAAAATGATGTTTTTTTAAAATAATGAATATTTTTTATATTTCAAAATTTTCAAAAAAAAAAAACGGAACATATGTGTTAGAACCCTATCTAGTGCATGTACACTGAAAATTTCAGGCCGATATCACTTTTGGTTACGAACTTATAGCTCTTAGGTGTTGACCGCCTGGTTGATCAATAGTGCAGACCCATCCAAACTTCAAATTTGGCATTTAAATGACTTCTTAGAGTATCCATGGTACAAATAAGAGTGTTAAAGAGTGTTTTAGTGACTTACGCTTGGAAAAATAACCTAAAAACATGTATCGCACAACTATGCGTAGTCATGTTACACATTTGACCTTGCGTGACCTTGAACTCATTAGACCTTGACTTCTCCTACTGAGTTTTCGCTTCCAAGTCTCAGATACACTTTCTAGACCATTACAGGTGGATTCCTGTCTGAAAGTTGACCTAAAAACATGTGTCGCATGACCATGTTTTTCATGTTTGAAAGTTGACCTTGTGTGACCTGACCTTGACCTGACCTTTGATGTGCACCACCCCTTAGGCCCTTCAGTGAGGTCGTGTGTCTGTCTAAGGGCTTCCCTGATAAAAAGAAGCATCTGGAAAGCTTCATTTCAGCAGGCGTCATAGTAAAACATAGCAAAAATGCGATATTTCACGTTTCACCTCGGTTTGACCTGACCCGTGACCTCGATTTAAAATTTATATGCTTTTGAGAGTTCACCACCAGGTCTACCCAACGCCGTTTGTCGCTTGTCGCTACGTCGCGTGGTTCTCGAGATATCTTCGGGGGCCAAAATGCCCTCCCCCTCCCCCAACGGGGGAGGGTCGCCAGATCCCAACGGGGCGCGGGTTAACCTGGCAGTTACTAGGGTTGTTGTTGCGACGGGAGGGGGCGTTAAACGCCCACGGCCGATAACAGACTCCCGAAGCAATAGGTGCAAGGGGGGAGGCAGGCGGCAAAGGAAAGCTATCAACGAGACGAGTTTATAGCACAATAACAATTTTCTTGAAAGGTCTTAGGTCATGTCAAAGAGCATGATGCGAGATGAACACTGGCGTCTCCTTAGCCGTAGAAAAGGAGATCGGCAGCACCAATGTAACCCAAACTAGCATAATACATTGACAAATGACAGGGAAAGGTGTGATAGGCACAATCAAATGCCAAGCTCAGGTCAAAACGGGTCATGTTAAGTGTGTAAAGGCCTGCGTCACATGCTATCCTACAATTTTGTAGAATTCGATGACGAATCGATGACATCTATTTAGGAAATTTTCCTCAAGATCAGACGAAAAAAAGTTAAAAAGCGTTAACGAGTTAAAAAGGTCAAACTTGAAAGAGTTAACTTTTGATTAAAAACAACTCCTTTGATGCAGCTTGGTGTCTTAATTTCCATCTTTTAACCCTTTGTGAAAGGGGAAGCTATGAATTAATGCGACCTGTCGAATTGGACGTGAGGCGAGGAAAAAAGATGCATGCAAATTACAAATCTATCGGGCAAATTGTTCCCCGACTGTTACTGTCCCTTACCGGGTACGTTGCGAAGAACTTTTTTGAGCTCCCGTAGTGCATCAGCCTGGACGGCCTTGCCGCCCCGAGCGTCCGACTTCAGTCGCGCATACTCTTCCCATATCTGCGGAACAGTGATGAACAATGGTGATAATTATTTTAATTACTAACAGAATATGATGTTGATTGGGGTGAGGAGCACTGACAGAAAGGTTACATAAACAAAACTACCGAAAACATTCCACGCGATTTGAGAATGGACGGATAACGAATATAAAACAGGACAGGACAGAACGAGACTGACGAACAGAGAGGAACTATATAACAATGACTAGGACAAGCTTCACAGACATAGCCAATACATTACTGGAAATTAAACACCAGGCCAACTAAACCCTATTACTGGTGGGCTTTCTGAACCTGGAGTTCGTTTACTGGTGTGTGTGTGTGGGGGGGGGGGGGCGATTCGGCCCCCTTAAGGTCTCTGACTAACCGGCCGATTTCGATGGGACAAACGCCATTCAATTGCCCTCATCGTGAATTATTTGATGTGCTATAAAACAATTTAAAAGTCAAAAATTTGGGTTTACAGTGGCTTTCTCCCCTAATATTTCACGATTTTCACGTTGTCACTAAAAACTCTATGATGTTGTTTTTTATCCAATTAAGATAATGTTTTAGGAGCAGCTACTTGATGAATAGGGCTATGATATATACTCCGGTTTTTATAATATTCGAAAATCAGAAGCGGTCCCAGTATATCGAAATCGTCAAGACGGCCGAAAAGTGTCCAGGAGAAATTGGCCCTGGGGACGACAATGGGCTATACGAAAGGCAAAAAAATTGGCACACGGTGCTCAATAAAAAGTCATCAAATTTCAGGAAGCTGGCTCCAGACGTTTTCTGTCAGATTTGAAAAACTACCGGCGGGGGCCGATCCCCCCCCCCCCCCAGTAATAGGGTTAATGTGTATGTGCACGATTGTGCAGAAAATGGCATGCTAAAAAGGGCAAGCAGGTGCGAACAAAAACGTGACTTATGCCCATTTATGCTCAATCGTGAGGTTTCGTCGACAGAAATTCACAATGCTCTGCATTGTCTTGCAATTATTAGGTAAGATACAATATGTTCAAAGTGTCTTTCACACTTTGAACTCCCCGCTGGATAGGATGATGTTATCAAAATGCCATTTTCAGAAATTTTCAGGGCCAATCTCATTCAAACATTCAGGGGTAACGTCGAACTGGTGCAGAAGGAGGTTCTGTAAGTCACATGTCAATATCCGCTTATGAGCAATCGAGATGATTGAAGGGCCAGATTCACCCCCCCCCCCCCCGCTAGCCGAGCGTGGGCAGTCAGCCATTCGAATTACACATACCTCATTTTCGTTAAAAAGCAGTGGATACTTGGCTTTCACTCCTGCGATGCTTTTTCTTGCGCGTTTGACACCGGCCAGCATCCGACGCCGGTCTGGGAGAGTTATCTTCATCGCTTCCTGCACCTGCGGAGAATCACGCCTTGTCGATAACTTGCCTTACTACTGAATACATTTTAATTTCACTTGAACAAGGAAACACCGCTTTTTATTCTCTTGAGCGTTTTAAAAAGCAGTACTTAGCGCTATTTTACTTTCATCCATATATTGCATAGATATTTTACATTATTGGAGGCCGCAAGACAAGGCACTTGACATGGACACACAAACAGTTGCCAGCCATTATCGTTGTTGCGACGATCAATCACAGACAAAAACGCAGGCACAAAGACGTGACCACAATTATGTATATGTATCAATATCAGCTACAGAAATGACCTATCGAGCATTTAAATACTGAAAAGAAGATTCAAATACGTTTCACGAGTCCAAAGCACATATATGAAATTCGAGTGCAGTGGCCAGGGTCTGCTATTCGTACTTTATACATAATTATGCACAGTGAACAGCCCAGGTAACAATTTTACGTTGTTACAAGGTACTAAGAGGGTTGAAAAAGGGTTGTCACAACGTGCCAATTTTACGTTGTCACAACGTAAAAATGCAGACGCCAGAAAACGTCATTTGAACGTAAGCCGAGTATGCAATTGAATGCCGTCGCAACGTTTCGACAACATCGTATTTACGTCGAGTGAACACTTAAATGGCGTTTGTGCAACGCTTTTATAACTAGCGTATAACCTCTCGACGACCTCATTACGAGCGAGCGCGAAGCGCGAGCGAGTTCTTCGAGGAATACTGGAAAAATCTGAGTATGAGCGGCCCGACACGGCACGGCCCCATTACGCTTTTGACGAACTTATATCTCTGCAGCCGCAGGCCCGATTCACGCGCGGTCTTCCTTGGTGGGTAGCTTCATCCCTTCTGCCTTGAATGAGACTAACCCCGGACCATATACGAGTATGCGTGATGAATGTAGCACGTGGCACGTGCAGAATGAAGGATGTTATGAACATGTTTTGTGTTATATCTCCAAAATGGCTTGGCCGTTTGTGCTCAATTTTGATGTGTGGCTAGACATCACGTGCAATATGCATGGCCCATCTGTAAATTTCAGGATTCTTACCCCGTAATGCAGAAACGGTTGAATCTATCGAGTTCCAATTTGTAGGTATTTGTAGGTTGTTTAGAGCGGCAGCGAGGAGCATAATGTAAATTAAAAGTAGCATAAATATGATAATGACAGTCTCCTCGGAAACTATACATATTTGAGTTAATTTCGTTTTGCTATTTACATCAAACATCAAACATTTGGATATGCTGCAAAACGCTGATGGAAGATTCGGTCGTCACCACTACAGAAATTAACTCAGGTCTGAGCACCAAAAATGACAGAAATATTTGCGAAATGATTGTTGACGACGCTTCCAAGACTTTTTCCGCTTCTAATAAACGATGTATAGGAGTCGAATGACCTGGTGGGGGGGGGGGGGCATCCCCGATATTCCGAAGGTGGCGCCGATCACAGGATGACCAATGATGAATAATCAGGGACCAAACAACAAAGCAATTACAAAGCAATTCCTTGTTGGCTGTATGCCAGGAAATGGGGTTAAGGCTTTACACGTACCTGGCTTTCGTTGAGAGTGCCCTTCTTCATGTCGAGTACGCACTCGTGCACCTTCATCCCGTCCACACGGGAGATGTCTGGGAGGAAGTTGGGAAGCTTCTTCGGTGTCTTCTTGCGCTGCTGAACCTCGAGGTCGTCGCATGCTTTCCTCTTATTCTTGAACTTATTGATCAGTGACTCCTTCACAAGTTTCTGTAACATGCACACCATACCAATATTTTGTTAGTAAATATACCTACAAAAAGTTGCCAGCCATTAACGCTGTTGCGACGATCAATCACAGACAAAAAAAAAAAAAAAACGCAGGCACAAAGCCGTGACTACAATTATGTACATATATGTATCACTATCAATATCAGCTACAGAAATGACCTATCGGGAATTCAAATACTGAAAAGAATATTCAAATACGTTTCTCGAGTTCAAAGCACATATGCGAAATTCGACTGCAGTGGCCAGGGTCTGCCAGTGTCAGTCACGGTATGACAGCTGCTGTATGTGTTATGACAGGTCTGAAAGCGAGCTTACTCAGTACCTACATGCTTGGCCCGGCACCAAGCCAGACTTGGTGTCATATTCCATAGATGATATTTGAGTTTATTGCTGGGCTTACAGATCTACTGGGTTGATAGTGGTGGGGGGAGGGGGCAGGCCTGGCTTGATATTTTAAGGGGATCTCAACATCTTTTGTCAATTGACTTCGGCTTGTACTCGTTCATTATACAGCAAGCAAATGAACAGAACAAACAACGGAAATAAAAGAATCAGTAGATCATTACATGTCGGTGGCTAATATATTTGCTCAGTTCGCGCACTGGACAATGGAATCGGCGACAGGAGCGTGTAACATTGGAGATTGGTGGGGACGTTGACTATGGTGAACAGTGATAACACTGAGTTGACGATGAGAGAAAGACATTTTATCACATGATTTCCAGAACTCACCAGCCGGTCCGACAGCCGCAGTCCTTTCCCGAACCCAGGGAATTGTTCTGCGACGTCAGCTGCGATAGCGTCTACGTTGTTCAGGTACCTGTTACAGAAAATCATATCAGCGAATGCATTCCGACACAATGAATGGCACAGTGAATTCAGCGTCATGTCTCATAAAACGTACAGTTTAGAATAGAGATGCAAAATGAGAGTAAGTACAGGCACCGCGTTGTGAAAAATTTCAGGCACGGCGTGCCTGAAGCGATGTCTGGCCGCGGAAAGTGTTGGGCTCAAGCTGGTCTAAGCAAGTAAACAACTTCATGAAAGTCGCTTGCGATGAAGCAAATGTATCAGACTTCGTGCCTCTTTCACACTCTTCTGCATCGAAACAATTAGGCACATCCCCTTAACCTTCTACAATGGCTCACCATTAGTGGTCCTATGTTCCCCCCAAATTGAAATGTCTAGCTCATAAGGGATGCACGATTTCCACATGGTAGCATAATGTGCAATGTGCATGCACATTTTTAGGCTCATTGAAATACATTTAGGGGTCGCAGAAAACATGCAACATCCCTGGGATATTAAGTAAAAAGGCATTTACGATGGGTATATCACTGCTTGTAGCCCCACGTACAACTTTCGTAAATAACTTTTCTAGGCTTTTCCAATACAATAGCAGGTTCATGAAATGCCAAGGAGACTAGCTGCCAGGATGCTTCGTTGCTCTTTTGTTTGTTTGTTGGGAAGCAGCGGGACGGTTGCCCCATTCCGGCAGTCCATCCAATGACTGAGGTACGAGTTTACTGTTAAAAACTATGTTGGGCTTCACAGATTATCGTTTTCATACCTGCTGCGACACGTCTTCGTGTACTGTTCATACACAGCAGCCATTATGTCTCTTCGCTCTCCTTTGCTGTGGTCACCGCCGTTTTCCATAGTCTCGCGGACGGATGGTGGAAGCGCTTTCGTGTCCAGGACGAACACCTGCCGGCTAAGAAACAATTACGTCATATACCAATGGCAAGCCACAGCAAATGGTGGGTGAAGGCTGGCGGGTGAATAGGGGGGGGGGGGGGGGTATCACTTTATACAGGAAATCTGTCACCATGTTTATTGGATTGGATATTTATAGTGTTGCAACCCAAGAACACGAATTAATATTGCATTACAAACGATACAAATCAAAAGAGTAATGCACCTGTCTTCTTGTTTTCAAATTGTACTCTTAGTCTCTTAGAGCATGAGTATGAACAATATTGAAAGAAGTCGGCTTCCCAATTGTTGTTTCCATGTTACAGCACATACCAGATGATTAGCACATATATACCTCGCACTGGTCCCGGCGTCCTTGCTGGACTCGTTGTCACTGGTCCCGCCGTCGGTGAGAGCAAGCGGGTCCTGTGCCGTTTCGCCGACGGCAGAACTCACAGAGGAAGAGCATGGCACCAAAAGGTCACTGAAAGAAACGAATAGCAATGTTGAATCTTCAATTCATGGCTATGGAAGTATACCGACTTTGTAGCAGTGGCACACCGGGGACGGTATGGTGTTTGTAATGTAATGATACCATTAATTAAATAATATAGTCATTAATTAAACAATATAACAGACAACGAAAAAACTCTCAGAAGAGAATTTCAGCCTGTCGCCAAAATGTGTGTGATAATTAGAGATACACAAAGTCCCCATACCAAAGCCCCGCACCGGCTCCGCCCCCGCTCAGACCTTGGTGTGACCCGACCACGACCCGTAACGGTGACAGTCAGGCCTGTGCACCACCAAGGCCCTGCCACCCGGCGTCTAACAGTGTGACCACATGGGCAGGGAGCCCGACACAGCCCGGCAAACACTTCATGCGAGACCCACTCTGCCCCGCCGGGCCTAAGTCCATGCCCCGCGCCAGGCCTGCGGGCTTCAACTTTGCAACTCTAGTACTCTAGTGATAATTAACATTTCCGGATGGTAATGAAAGACAAAGGTAAATCAAAAAGGAAAATGAATATGTTAGTAGGGTCGTACAAAGGACTTACTCGATCACTGCTGAATCCTTGGAACAGGAGGGAGTTCCCAAGGCGCCAGGAGAAGCTGTCATCGTCAGGACGGGGATGGTGTCGGCCGTGCTGAGACATCTTTGGATGAATGACACTGGTGGGCTGGAGACTTGGACGGGGACAAGGCGAATCCGTCCGCCACATGGTAGGTCGTCTACTGGGTTATCGATGCGAACATACAATTCGGACTCCTTGTGGTAAAGCTCTAAGCAATAACTGCCAGACAGAGAAAACGCCTCTTTTGCGGCCGCCAAAACATCACCCTTATTCTTCACAGTCACAAGTCGGTTGATGTCGTGTTGCTGCACCACGTAGGTCAGCATGGCGATCGTGGTCCTGTAAATATTCGAATTACACATTTAGCCACAAAGTCTGTCGCGGCCAGGGTTGGGCTGGAAGCCGTGCCGAAGCCAGGACGGTAATAGGAAGCCAAAACCGAAGCCGAAACCAATGGCTTCCAAAATTATAATTTGGAAGCAAAAACCGAGGCCAGTGACATTCAGACCTGAAACGTGGGAAGCCGAAACCACAGGCTAGACTTCGAAGCCGTCTAGCTTCGGCACAGAAGGAGCACGTTACACACGCTCGTTTACAACACGCTCGTTCTCTAACTCATATTTTGGCAAAAACAGCGGATTTGAGCTATGACTTTGACTTTGCATCCCTGATTTACCGCATTTTGCGGTCGTATCCCGCGCAAGTGCACGTTGCAAAATGCAAGCATAATCACTGAAAGTGGATGCTCCCAATGTAAAGATATAAATGTTCATCACACTTACCTATCGTTCTACAGCATCCCGTAGCCGGGTATCAGCCTCCGAGGAACGGCATAGTGGTGGTCATTGATCCAGTACGTGCCGAGGGGCTGGGGATCAACGAGACTCGCACAGTCGAATACATCATATTGATCTGTTCCAGAAATGATAAAAGCTCCCAAGGATGTGTCATAAATGGCCACCTGGTGCTGCACCAGGAATTGTTTGTCCGACTCAACGCTGCTTGGATGTTTGCAAATGCAGATAATCACAGCGACACCAGTGTGCAGCAGCAGAGCTTCACCCGCGCAGTACTTCTCGCCGTTTATTAGCGCCTTTTTGAAAAGCTGTGCCCCTCTCGTCAATGCAGCAGCCGCTTCCGGAACCTCTCCCCTGAAAGGTTGCCCGCCGCTCATACGACCGCGTAGTTCCATTGCATCTGCGACACTCCTGAATGAGCTGAGCAAGTTACAGGGTAGCGACCACCTAGAACGCACAGCTGTTCCCATGTTCGTCTGTGCCCAATGTCACAGATACAGGATCAACCGTTTCAAACTCCTTGACAGCTGTGCGTTCTAGGTGGTCGCTACCCTGTAACTTGCTCAGCTCATTCAGAGTCTTGAGTTTATGATAATATTCTTCAAGATGGCAGCATGGTGCCTCCCCACATAAGCTCAGACACTCTTGGATGACTTCTTTCGAAAAGTCCTCAATGAACTCCAGCACAGCATGGCAGCTATTTTCGGTCACATTTTGGGCGCGGAGTTTGATTATGAGTCCTAACAGTTGTTTTCTCACATCGTGAGCACCAGGGTCGTCTTCAACCTTGTCACCAGAGTCAGAATCAATCTCGACACCAGTTTCTTGTTGATTTTGAGACGAAGATGTCTCTGGAGCATTTGAAGCACAACCAGCAGCTTCAACCGGAGAACACTTTCTAGACAAAACATGATCTTTCCAATACCGAACAGTGGTGAACTTCTTGCGACACATCGGGCAATCCACGTGAAAATAAGGGTCTGATCCATGTCGTCGCAAATGCAGGCAAAACTCTCTCAAGTCTGTGTCAGTGTGGTGACACAAAGAACATGATAGCTTCACATTCATCTGAAACCAATAAGTGCAAAAACATTCTGAGCCAATTGTAAATTCGCCTAACCAAGCATACAGAATTAGCAACACCAAGGAAAGGATCATTAAACGAAGGAAATGAATTTCGTTCGTTATGATCCTTTCGATCATAAGGGCACAACCCCAAATAATATTCAATAAAATATGAACTACGGGGTCTTCTGCCTACAGTCATGTGGGCAAACGCACCAGTGATGTCATTTATAGAATTTAGTGAAAATGGTACCAGTCACCACTCAAACCCAGGGCGGTGACCCCACGGCGAAACAGCTTCAGCGCCAGTACCATGAACAGCTGGAACGCTTTACCTGCCGAAGTTGTGTCCGCTGACTCGCTCGACATTCTAGGCGCGACTTGACCGCCATTGGAGGAACCTGATATTTAACATACCACAGACCTAGAGCCCTGATTGTTCATTGTCCTTGAGCATTCTGTCATTGTCAACATTTGGACAGTCCTTGAACTGTCCAAATATTCCTCAAATTTTGATGTATTACAAAGTGAATAGTTGTTGCTACAAACAACCAAAAATCTAGTGATATAAATTATTCCCCGCTTCATTTATAGCTTGGTTTGTGAAAAATTTATGTTTGAAGTTGTGAGCAGACTTGTGCCAAGATCCCAAAAAGATCCGAGATCCAGGATCCGCTGGATCCAAGATTTGGGATCTTGGTGGTTCCTGGATCCAGAATTTCAGATTTTGTCGAGGGATCCTGGGGATCTTGGATCCAGCATTTCAGATTTTGTTGAGGGATCCTGGGGATCTTGGATCCAGCACTTCAGATTTGTCAAGGGATCCTGGAGATTCTAGATCCTGCAGTCTGCACTTCAGATTTTGTCGAGGGATCCTGAATCCTGAATTTTCAATTTGTCGAGGGATCCTGGGGATCTTGGATCCTGCATTTTCAATTTGGCGAGGGATCCTGGGGATCTTGGATCCTGCATTTTCAATTTGTCGAGGGATCTTGTGGATCTTGGGTCCTGAATCAACCTTAATTTGTTTGGAGGGTTTGCATTATGACTCCTCAGTTGAAGGTTTAGGTGATATTTGGCATTGGATGCTATATTCTAAGTTGCAATTGGATGTTAGATTATGTGCATACACCCTCACATGTACCTTGATGGTACATGTTGTTACTTCAGTGTTAACTACTTACTGCCAAGCACTTAGTAGTGAGTATACTGAATGAAGTGTCAGCAGTACCATCCAAATATTGAGATAGTATTATTGAGAGTGAGTGACTGAGTTCTAACTCATGAGGTTGGTTGTGGGATTGATAACCAATAGCCTGGCACTGGCTACCTACTGAATATGTTATGACTGAATGATCATGAATGATTTAAGATCTATTTTGCTTTGCAAATAGCAATAAGAGAAGCCACAATGTAGGAAATATCATAAGCAAGGACTGTTCATCTTGTTGTTCTGATGATCATGGATGCTACATTTTACTAGGATCATTGTTCATTATGTCATTTGGCTATTATGCTCAATGAACCTAAAATTTACTCTGGTTTTTATCATTAGGCTTGGGCCTCAGATTCAACTTTTGATCTACCATATGAGCATATGACATTACACTTGAACAATTAACAATTAAGAACTCACTCAGATGACAAGTCCTCAGATCTAGAGTTCTCAAAGGCCATAGTTTACTCACAAGTCATAGCTGAACTAACCTCTGTGATTCTATGAAGTGTTGACTGACGAAAGACTGATGAAGAACTTTCATGCTAAGTATAATGTTTCAATTTTCCAACAAAATATTTTCTCGAAAAAATAGCATTCTGCCCAAAACCCCAAAAAAGTTAATGTATGCCTCTCACATGGCAGCCCTGTGACCATGAGAAGTCCTGTGATCATGGACGAAGGTATTTCTTTATCAAGGCAATGCATAATTTCGTCGATCGTTAAACTGTAGATTAATGTTAAACTGTAGATTAATTTTAATCGTCGATTGACATTAAAATAGGCTTGGTCAAGTTGTATTACTAGTTATCAGTGATAACTAGCACGGGGTGATAACTTATCACCCCGTGCTCTGTTTGAGACTGGCATAAACCATCGGCGATTGGCGAAATATACTGATTCCACGGGTCAATAAATTCCTCCGTTCATGATCTTATTACCAAATTTACTTACCAAATTTTAGTCACAGCAAGGCAATAGAATACCAGCAAGGCAATAGAGTCACAGGGCTGACATTAGGGGCGTACGCGGCGCATCAACAGGAAGGTACTGGAAAGTATAAAGTGCAGGGAAAATTGCCACCCGAAAGTAAACATAGGCAAGGTCACCACCAGGGTATATTGAGAGACGGTCACCACCGCCGTGCACCAACCTCCGATTGTAAAATGTCAAGGCCATCTATAGCATAGGCTATGTATTATCACAAAGTCGAGGTGGGTATTAATATGACGTCACAGGTACAAGGGGTCTAACGCAAGGTGTGGTAGTCCGAAGAGATGGGTAATCCAACAGGCATACCAATCAGTACACGGTACTCCAATGACGTCCTTGATTTTAGTCTTATAAGTTTATGGCAAAGTATTATAAAGCAAATATTTTCTTTGCGTCCATGCCATTTTCGAGGAGTGACTTTTGTTTACAGTGCCAACATCACAGCTGCTGATTGAAGGTTATATACATCAGCTGAATTTAGCATGCAGCGATTGAATTATTGGCTCCAGTTTTGCTTTCAGAGATTAAAATCATTTAGTATTCAACAACAATAGATCTAGAAGCTTTTTGTTGTGTAATGACTAGCAAACTTCATTGCAGGTTTTGTCTGGAAGCGTGCCAGGTGAGGGAAAAAGGAAGGAACACCCTATATATGAAAAGCAACATATTGTTTAGCCTCATTAGGACCAAGGAAGACCATCCATTCCAATCCTTCATAGGACAGGCAGAGGCAGGTGCTGCGAGTCTGGCATTTTGGTGATTGTCAAATCATGTTCCTTTCCTTAAAATAGCTTCTGATTTTGTTGAGGCATAATATTAACAATGTGAGTTTAACTTTATGCCCACAGGCTTTTGGAGCCTGCTGCACAACCTGATTATGCTAGATTTAACTTGAATCGTATCAGCATAGACAGATACTTAACAAAACATGCCACAAGTAAACAGATGGTAATAAGGAACTGCCATAATAATTTCTGACCTGTCATGTAATAACAATTGACAAGGCCCACCACATCCAAACAGTTATCAGTTCAATGATAAAAAGGGAGACCAGAATAAATAGTCATGCTTCTTTACATCAATGATTGACTTCATCACCTCTAAGGCTAGTTTTTGTGCAAAATCCAAGGAATTTTGGTTCCTTAAGTTTTGACATACCAACATAGACATATACTTACCAAAACATTCCACAAGGAAACAGATGAAATAAGAAATGAGCCTAAGTCACCATCAATTTTTTAGCTGTCATGTAATGACAATGGACAGGGTCCACCACAACCAGACAGTTATCAGTTTGGTAATAAAAAAGTGGAGCAGGACAGATTCATGCTAGTCATCATCATTCATCTATGATTGATTTTATCACCTTCAAGGCTTGATTTTGTGCAAAATGCAAGGTATTTTGGTTTTTCTGAAGTCTTGATGTTGCGTGGGATCCAGGGGATCTTGGATCTTAAGGTTCTGACTTTGCGTGGGATCCAGAGGATCTTGGATCCTAAATTTTGTTTCGCGCAAGATCCAGGTATTCTGATTTTGCATGGGATCCAGGGGATCTTGGATCTTAAAATTTCCCATTTTGCGTGGGATCCAGGATATCTTGGATCCTGAAATTCTGATTTTGCATGGGATCCAGGGGATCTTGGATCCTAAAATTCTAGTTTTTGTGTGGAATCCAGGGGATCTTGGATCCT